TATATATATATACCCCTCGGCTTCGTATAAACCCTCGCTTCGACTTGGAATATATTACAGCGATAACGTATCGTTCAACAGAGCAGAGATCTTTATTGTCGCTAAACTTGCAATTGTTAGATTATTGTAACGAGAGTATCGGGCCAGCGAACGGAAACAAGTCCCGGATATTTATGGGCGTTGTTGCATGTGCGAAGCGGCTCTTGTGAACGCTAAAGCGTTTACCGCTGATGCACACCCTCATGTCCCGGAGATCAACAAGTACATGCAGTAGGGAAGTCGCGATGTGCACCAGGTGCTTCGCATGAATCGGTTTCAACCTTGTATAGCCCAGTGTAACGTATTGCGCGGCTTACGTTAAACGCAAATCTCTCTTTCTAATGACATGTTTCAAAGAACGCGCTTAAGCCATGGGTAGCGGAGGAGTTGGTGAAGTACCAACGATATTTCACCCCCGACGATTGCGTACGTCGAATATAACCTTCGTCGAAGATCAACAGACCCACGGTCCGTTCATCACTCCCATCCAGATTGCGCTCCACGCTTCAGGTAAATCTGCGCGTTGATGTATAGATTGCCTTGGACCGACCTCTATCCCCCCCCCCCCCCAAGTATCCTTTCAATCGCAGGTACTGAGGGGTGAAGCTAAGGAAAGCGATGGCTTATTGATAACTACTATCGCGAATAATTATTCGAGATTTTGAAACATTGAAGATTAAAGAATTAATGAAGTGTGTGTGTGTGTGTGTGTGTGTTTCAGTAATTTTTAATCTCATCTCTATCTTAATAAAATTTTATGCTAAAATTTTAACGATAAAACAAAAGACTTAAACAATAAAATAAAATTTTGTCGCTTTTTTTTAATTGGATGCCGTCACAAAACAGTGTTTCCATTTAATTGCAAAATTATATACTGCACTCTATCGATGTCGATGAGAAGTAGATGAATAATTTCAAATTTTACCAAATTTTTCCGAAGCAAATTATTGATTTATTTGACATCGAACCTGTGACTGGAAGAAGATACAATGGATTTAAGATGATATCCTGCATAATTATCATCGCGCGCGCGACAATTGCATTTCGATATCAGTTGGAGAATGCAAAGTCTAGCAACGATGGATTTACACACGTACACAAAATAGCGTAGCATCTATAGTATTTATATCCAAGAGAAGAGAAATTTAGAATTTTAAGAAAGCCTGACGTATCAGCTCTTTAGTAATGAGTTTTAGTATTAGTATTTTCTCGCATTATATTATTATTGAAGTGCTCGCATGATATACGCATAACATTTCGCTGAGCATATTTCGCCTATGTATGATTCAAATAAAACTGCAAAATTTCAAAATTAGAACACGCTTATATTAAATTAAAGAAAGTCGCACATAAAAAATGTCTTTAAAAATTATTTCCTACACATAGAAATAAGTGCGTGCGCACACACTTTACGTAGCTTTTTATTTCAGACAGAAGAGCCAGATAAAAATAAAAATTTAATTAAAAATATCAATTTAATTGACTTAATTCAAAAATAAATTTAATCCTAACTTTTTTTCATTATCCAAAATATATAATCCACAACAATCTATGGATAGTTAGTTAAAATATACGCTGTCTAAAATTCTCTTTAGGCACGAATAAATTTAAATAAAGGTATTGCGAGACACCATATTATGAGACGAAGTTTCAGAAAGAACGTCAATATTTCAGGATGCGAGCAACAGCAGGGTTGCAGCGTCGTCGACGGATGCGGCGATTCTGCGCCAAGTTGTCGCACCCTAGAGGCTACCGGAAGTGCCGGCAGCGGTGGCGATAGTGGGACCGGCAGTGTGCAAACGACAGGCCAAACTCAATCATCAACTCATGTGACCTCTGCTCCGATAGTTCAGCAATCGCAACAACTAAGCTCGATTTCAGCCTGCGTCGCTTCCTGTTGCGCGGAAAGCGCGAAGAAGGTTGCGTCTTTAACATGAAATTGCGGATAGTAGATGAAACAAAATAGAAATTAGATAAAACTCTAATGATTAAATGAAAATCTCAACTTAATACTCAAAGTATTACGTTTATAATGTTTACTGAAACTCATAGCGAATTCAATCAAACGCACTAGTGCGCATTAGTTTATAAATATTAAAGTCACCGTACTCTGATTTAATCTAACTAGAAGTAAAATGCAAATATTTCGAATTATAACATACAAATTTTACTTAACAGCACAATAAAATATATTGACGATTTAACGGTTTAATTCGTTTTTATATTTATATTAAACACATTTTCACGTTAATTTGTATACGTTAATTTATGACGGCTTTAATGTGCACCAATACGTACTGAGGACATTTAACCCGATAAAATTTGTTTATGCATGAATATATACAAATATATATAAACATATATAAACATGTATAAATTTTTATAAATCTGTATAATTATATATGAAATATGTCTATACATCCTTTTTTTTGTAAATTACTTTTCAGTGTATTAAAAATAATAAGAATAACATAAGAAAACATTAAACATAATTAAAAGGATAATTTTTGCATTAATTGTTTTAGAAAAAATCAAGTTTGGAAAAATGTAAAAAAAATTGCTTATACATATAATTATATGTATATAAAATTATATAAATTATGTTTTTGTATGAGCAATTTTTTTACATTTCTCTAAACTTAATTTTTTTCTAAAACAAATAGTGCAAAAATTATCTCTAATTATTTTTTACATTTTTACATTATTATTATTTTTATTACGCTAATAAGAAATTTTACAAATAAAAAACTGTTGTATATAACATGTATGGACATATTTCACATATATATATAATTATACATGTATAATTATAATTATATGTTTATAAACATTTATACATGTTTATATGTATATTTATTACATATATGTTTATGTATATTATTTACATATATACAGAGTGTCCGGAAAATACTTCAGGAAGTGATTTGGGATCCAAAAAAAAGGAAACAAGGTATATAAACATAGATCCGGTAATAAGTCGTTTCAGAGTTGTAATCACTTTTGTCAAAAAATTGTAATTTTTTTTTCACAATTGCAATCATAATTTATTTTATAATGTTTTAACATAAATAACTATATTTTGGACTATTTTGGCGTTAGAATACACCACGTGGAGGCATAATCCGCTTGGTATTCTTCTCTTAGCAAAGTAAAAAAAATGTTTAAATTAAAAAATTAAAAAAAGAAAGATGCCGGAGCGGATTATGCCTTCACGCAGGATGCCTACACGCATCCTGGGTAACACCAATATAGTCCAAATGTAGTTATTTATGTTAAAACATTATGAAATAAATTATGATTGTAATTACGAAAAATAACCCAGATAGTAAAATGTTAGCACGATGCTATTTCATTATTAGGTTTTGATAAAGTCTTTATCAAGTACTCATCAGGACCTGATGAAGCTATCCGAATGAGGACTCGACTACTGTGCTGCGTGACTGATCACGACACGATGAACTTATCTTATCAGGATCTGATAACGAAATAAAGTCAATCTGATTAGGACCTGCTAAAATCCCTAGATAAATTTTTAGTCGAGAATCACTTTCCAAAGAATTGCGGGCAATTTTCCGAACATCCTATATATATATATGCATGACAAATTTTTTACCAGGAATTGAATTCGCTGCTATTACAATATATATCTTATATATCAGAAATATTTTTTGTATTAATTGATATATGCAAAAAATCATATATTTGATCAAAGTAGATTCTATTAATAGAATTATGAATATTATTAAGTATTAAGATCCGCTTCGACTAAATTCATAATTCTATTAATAAAATAGATTATTTTAATATATTTTAATGACATATTCTATTAATAGAATTATGGATATTATTAAGTATCATGATCCGCTTTGACCAAATATATGATTTTTTTGCATATATTAATTATTTAATGCAAAAAACATTTACATTACAATAATAATATTTATAATAATATTCTAAATCAAATATATTTTCTAGTTCTATAAACTGCGTGCCGATTTAAAGTTTGTCAAACTTAAAACGTCATCATATAATATAGAAATAATTATTATACTACTTATATAATATTGGAAATTATATTACTATATATAATATTACTATAATTGGAAATAATATTTTACAAATTATATTACTAAATATTATAAATTACATCTTAGGACATCCATCCTGGAAAGTCATCCATCCGAGATCCAAATTTAAACTAGCTTAGATGATATTTCTCATAATAAATTCTTTGCAGTGTTTTAAAATGTAATTATTAACACTATTATTAAAATTGATCAATGTTATTTGTGATATTATTTCCAGCTTCAATTTACGATTACGTTTTAAGTCCAACATACCGAATCGATGCGCAGTTTATAAAACTGAAAAATATATTTGAGAATTTAGATATAAATATTATTAAGCATTAAGAGCCACTTCGATCAAATTTAGAATTCTTTCTCTTTATTTTTTTTCTCTTATTCTTTCTCTTTATTTGTGTTATTTTATCGATCGATTTTTCCACTTATTATTGACACATGCATTTTATTCGATTATTTTTATAAGAAGGAGAAAATTTTATTACTTCAGCTATATATATATCAAAAAGGGACGGAGATTACTCTTATAATTGCAGATCTATTTCGGCGTGTGCGTGACGATATGTGTAACCGCGAGTTGGGTTGGCGCGACTCATTGTATTAAGTATTTGTACTTTCGTAAATCAGATAAGATCTCGGAGACGTCTGAATCCGTAAATTCCTCTGTGAGCGGACTTCATCATCAACATGTAAGTTTATTTCAATTTTCTTTTAACTTTTTCATCTCTCTCTCTCTCTCTCTCTCTCTCTCTCTCTCTTCTCTCTTCTCTCTCTTTCTTTTTCTCTGCCCCTCTTCCTCTATCTCTAACGAGATGATGTTAAGGCAATTATTATCTTCAGATCATTCTTCCATACGATGCGCCCTTCTTTACGACGTGGTTTTGTACCAATTGGGAAATCTTATACTTTCCGGTATACTTCATTTGTTGGGCTGCGAGAAACAAGTGCGCCGCCCCTTCGGAAGTAATAGCCGAGAGTCTCCGCGGTTTCCGTGATAAGGGTTTCACTGGCGGCCGCTTCTTAATTAGGTGCAGTCTTTTCTGCAGCTTATGGGTTATCACGAATTACTTGTATATACTCTCGCTGAGAATACTGCTAGCCACGGACGTGATGGCACTATTTGCAACCAATGTGTCATGCGTCTACCTACTCTCGTGGGTTATTCTTCATGAACAATTCGTGGGTGTGAGGGTGAGTAGATGTAAGAAAAAAGTTCAATTTTTATTCTAAAAATATGTAGTTCCAATTTGTTAAAATTTTATTTTACTTACGTTAATATATTAATTTATTAAATACACGAAAGTTACTTTTATGAAGAATATTGTATCTTTTTATAAATCTAACGTATAAATAATGTTAAAAATTTTTTAATGGCGTTTTTGTGTCTAATATTGTATATTGTACGCTTATGTATCTTTATATATACAAATATACATATAGCTAAAATGTATTCTGCATGAACTTTGCGTACTTTTATAACAGAAAGTTTCAATTATATTTTTTATTATATTAAACTCAACATAAAGTTATTCTAATTATTTACAGATAGTCGCGGTGATCCTCTGTAACACTGGTATTGCGCTTTTAGCTTACATGGACGGAATAACTGGAAGTCCAACGCTAGGAGGTGTCGTTTTAGCTACAGCAGCGGCAGCTGGCTCTGCCGTTTATAAAGTAAGCGCAATATCTTGTGAATTATATTGCAGTTGTAACGATATAGTTGTGTACGAGATATTAAATTTTTAAGAGTGTTTTGTTCATTCAGGTCCTCTTTAAGAAAGTAATAGGAGAAACTACGTTCGGCCAAATGTCTTTCTTTTTCTCTCTTATCGGTTTATGTAACGCCGCCTTGTTATGGCCAATTTGCCTGGCTCTGTATTTTTCTGGGGTGGAAACCATACCCTGGGCAAGATTACCTTGGGCAGCTTTACTCTCTGCCAGCATCCTTCATTTAGGTCTGAACTTGCGCTGAACTAGATTACTATTCGATACAACATATATGTACATCTGTAACGAAATGTACTTTGAATGATTTAATTGTTCACAGTTGCGAATATGCTCGGCAATTTCAGCATCGCGATCACCTACGACCTGTTCATTACTCTTGGATTAATAACAGCTGTACCTGTATCTGCTGGTAAGTAAAACACACACACAACTATTATTTTAAAATAATCGTAAATTAACAAATGGCTGTTTTGAATAATATATCAATAATTAAAAATAAAGATCTATATTTATAGAAAGGAAGTAGAATTTAAAAAATATCTTTTATTTGAAAATATATAAACTTTGAATATAATATTAATGAAATTACAAATAAAGAATTATCTCTTCACAAGAATTACAGCTCCAAGAATAAATCGAAAGAAAATAAATTGTGATAAATATGCCGATGAGGAGGGGACTCGTCCCGATGACCATAGCATATATCAAGAAAGTTATTAACAAAAAAAGTTTGAAAAACGATTTCTCTTTTTACTAGATTTAAATAAAAATTTTCTGTTTCGAAATATATATTTTACGACTGTCCACGTAAAGTGAGTTCCATATCCCACCTTTTCTCCTGTCAAGGAACGTTCGACTTTTTACGCGAAGTAAGATCCATCTGCAGGAAAAGTCATTACGCCCTTTGGCAGGAAGAAGGGGAGGTGGGGTGAAATCCACTTCGCGTGGAAAGTTATTATATACACAGAGGAAAGTATAGGATTGTTTTTAAATATTGTAAGTGGCAAAAATAAGAGAGACGTTGTTTTTTAAACTTATTTTATTAATAACTTTTTAACGAATAATGAGCGACGGCTAAAACCTGTTGGAGGCTACTCATAATCTGGATAACATATATTAAAGTTAAAGTCATCAGAGCGGGCTCCCTCCATCGATATATTTACTTAAAATACGCAATATACAAACGTTTCGATCCTTGATTTGATCCTTTTCAATGCGTTGCAGATAAATACTTGCAATGATAAGACAGATATTAAAAAAAAGTTATCTTTTTATTTCATTGTTATTTATAAAATCTGTTGCTTAACTAATCGTTAATATAATTGTGCAGCATTGGACGTTATTTTTTATGGAGCGTACTTCATGGGCATGAAATTAGCAGGCATGATCTTCATAGCGGTGGGTTTCTTCCTCGTAATGTTCCCGGATAATTGGCCAGATTACATAACAAGACTTCTTCGGTATGTTTTCTCAGTCTGTATTCTATATACAACGCGTTTCTATGGTATGCACTTTTAATTCGGAGTTCATTTAATTTATCTTTTAGTCTTTAGTTTCTCTAGGAAAGTCTTCGTCCGTCCAAGACAATTTGTGTCTCTCTCTATATACATCTACTTTACTTTTGCAACAATATCGAACTGTTGTCTTTTACCTTATTTGGCACCAGAATAGAAGCAGCGCGTAGTCTCACTTAAGTAGGATATGCTTGACTTACTTATCTATATGTATATATAATATATATATATAATATATATATAATATATATATTTACTATATATCTACTGCCTTAGTTTTGGCGATTTTTTCAAAGCGTAATAAAATACATTTTATAAATCGCTTTGGCAAAGTAACATAGATCGTTTCCTAGAGAACTTTATACGCCCGTCTTCGCAAAACGTACATGGTTTCAATAAATCCCCCTTTCGTCGCGAAACGTACCTGATTAAACGCGCGACGATTACGAAAATATAGGAATCTTTTATGAATTTACTTTATTATATTATTTGCAAAATTGTTTTTTGTTTCGGAAATCTTTAAGTTTCAATATAGATTTTGCGTTTAAACAATTTTTACAATTTGTTTTGCCTCTCACCAGCCTTTACTTCGCAGCTTCGCAGCTAAATACATGCGATGACATTTTCAAATCATACGAGATTGATTTTGTTTTACTGCATAAATACGAATTTAATTATGTCGACTTATGTCAAAGCATATTGCAGTTTTCTTTCGCATTTAGAGGCAACTCGAGCACACGCTTTACATAAAAATTAAAAGCTAGCACTGATATTGTTTTACAGGATGCCTGGAATATGCAACAGGTTTAAAGAATAATTAAATTAATATATTTGATAGCAACAATATAAATAATGACAATGTAACCGGCATAAAAAGCTATTTACTACACTTTATAACTTTTTTCTAAACTAATGATAGATGCATTAATATTTGATGCATTATGAAATATGTTAATTAATATAAACCAAATTTTTAACTTTTCTTATTCTTTTCTTATTATTATCAATTTTGTTATTTTGAAAGCAATTTTAAAAGCACTCTGGTGCGTATTTAAAATAAATTTTGTAATTTTATATTTGCTATTTTTTATAATATTTTATATGGTTATATGAACAGCTCGAGCAGTTCCCCAGTTTACACATAAATTTAAATAAATAATATTTTTTAGTGTTATTTTCGTATTTTAATATTTGAACATTTAAATTCACACACCAAATTTATTTGAATTGATGGAATTCGTTTACATACTAATAAATTTTTTAGCTTTTTATTATATAAGAATATTATACTTAAATACTATCTAAATATCTGCTTTCTTATTGTTAATAAGAATTACACAAAAATATATGTGATGATATTTACAGAAGTGTTTATTAAAATAACGTAACATATTTTCGGCAGTTAAAGAATTTGAACTGTTTAAAAAAAAAATGGATTAGGAGAATAAATGATTCAATTAGCTTAAGTTGCTTGTTGTATTGTCTTTGAAATCAATCATTTCATCATTCGCTTCCCAACAATCAGGATCCATTATATGCTGTTACAGAAACGTAGTCCTCATGAGTCACAGTACAAGGTAAGAAAATACATCCCATATGTCTTGCCCATCTGGTCTTACTGAAAATTCATCCTTTCTCTCAAAACTTTTTGACTTACTATTCAAGTAGTATAAAATTATAATAAAATAAAAAAGAAAGTCTATATATATATATATATATATAAATAACGCAAAAATTGAAATATTAAAATCAAATATGACTTTTTAAAAATACTTAAATTTATATAATAAGAAGGTATATTAATTCTAGCGTTTTCCGAAAACGATCATGACGTACAGATATTACTAATACAAAGATTCATGTTCGAATTAATAATTAGAATTTTACTCTATTGCATATAACAGAGATAAATTGTTATTTATGGAAATAATAAAAGTAATGAATACATTTACAAGAGAATAAATATTATTTTGGAGTCATTAATTCACTTGCGATGAATTTTCTGTAAAAGAGCAAACGGTATAAATGTCGATAGGCGCATGATTTATAACATTTTTTCAATTTCTTCTTCATTCTGCATGCGTACGTTGAAGCTTGGCGTACTTTTCATTGGCTTATTTTTTTAAAGCAAATCGGCATGCCTCTTCTTCACGCTTCTTTTCCCCGATATTATTTTTCTTTTAATCATTCAGTTAGCTTTGATGCATTATGTGTCTGTATTAGCCATTTTTATACCAAACCCCTATTCAAAATTGGATTGTAAGACAGATTAGATTCAAAATTAATTCTGTTGCCCTCGAAAATCTTAAGAGATTGCTTGTCTTAACGGTCGTACTCGTAAAGCATCCTGGAACGGTGTACCTATTATTTTACACTCAATATACATATAATTTAGTCACGTGCTCTTGTTCGTCCATTATCTCATCTGATTAATTATATAGTAACTTGATCATAGAAATCTTGCGACATTTATTGCAAATTATTTGTATGCAAGCCATAATTTTTCTATTTAAAAATACCAATTAATTTTTCTTTTAGAAAAAATGTGAGATAAAAAGATAAATATTTTTTTGGAAACAAAGAATAATGATAGAAACCGATAAAAATAAAAATTAGATGTATCGTGTGCATAACTAATTTCCAAAGAAATAAGCATTACCGTTCTAACATCATAAAACAGCATCATAAAAAGACTAAAGTACGTATTAGATGTATAAATTAATCCGGTGCTTTTACATTTCATGTCTTATAACTCCTTTTAAAACTAAACAATTTGTCGCCTTTTTGTAAGTGTATACACTAAGTAATTCTCACTTTAGATTTGTCATATCGCATACTTTAACATGCTCCAACTTAAATGAGATATGTATATATTATAGTAATATATATGTACGAGTATACATATATATTACTATAATATCTAATCATTCAATTATAATACAATTAATAGCTTGTGATGAAAGGCTGGAGAATCGCTAGATTTCTATGACACAGATGCCCGCGTCCTCCACCCCAACCTACCCAAAGAGTTAACGTGAGCATATGGAGAGAACATATAGATTATAGAGTCTTTAAGTACGAGGGAAATTCGCGTATCGAGATATTCAAGCAACACGCGACAGCCCCTACCGATTATGTTAAAAAAAAAAAAGACCAACGAGACCGCGCTGCGAGACATACTGTCGAGAGGAGCCACTGCAGGTCTACCCCCGTACGAAGATAATCGAGAAATCGACTTATGAGAGTCTCGGACTTGATATATATACGCAGTACCACGGGGGGCGGCCAGCAACGCGGCAGCAGGAATATCCTTAGAGGTCGCAGAACATCCCTTCAGCAACGTCAGCACCGTCTGAGGAGCTACGGCGTTTCTGCCGCACATGGAGATGGTCAGACGCTGCTGCCGATCAGCAACAACAACAACAACAATAGCAGCAACAGCAGCAATCAGCCTGCCATTCTTCGACATGTTAACAACAACCCTCAACAATACAGCTCGACCTCTGAAACCCAATCACGCCGTGTCCTTCCTTCTACCTCGACTTCCATCACCTCGACCACCACCGTCGTCAGCAACAGCTATTCGCATGATCCTCGTAATCAACATCAAGGTATGAGAACAATCAGGCTGGTGGCGAAGCCACGCGTGACGCGGTAAGAGAGAAATCAGGTAGGAATCAGGTGCAGGAAGTGATCAAGATCAAATCGAACGTGATCGTGATAGTTGGCTGGCGACGAGTAGCACCGTGTAGAGTTTTGTTGTAACGCTCGAGATACGAAATATGCTGGGTAATTGAGCAGGGATTTGCTAGTGAGTGGCAGTCGCAAATCATCTTGAAAGCGCTGAATATTGAGTTGCATAATGTTATAATTGCTATTTAAGCTAACGCCTAAGTGATTAATGTAACGTAGTATAAACGCCGAACGCTAATTGCGAGTATATACAGGGTATTTTAAATTAAGAGTATCACTTATTTATATTTTTTCCTCGTTGTCACTCAAAGTATCTTTTACATGCAATATTATATTTTTTACAATATTAAATATTTTACTAAGAAATAACAAAAAACTTAAAATTACGATAAAAACAGAATTTAAAATTAAAGAAAATAATAAGATTGTCTTGTCTATTTAAACACACATTGAAAGTTATTCTCTACATTTATCTTATTTTTTTTTAATTCACAAAATTTTAAGTGTCGAAGTTTTCATACTTCCACACAGACAGACGTGTGTATAACTTTAAATTAAAAAATGTTCAATAAAAAAGCGTAAGTCAGTTGTGAGGGGCCCTGTATATCGATATGAAAGCATATGCGTGTGATGCGTGCAATGAGGAATGCCTTTATAAAATTATAAATTTCTTCGCATCTATTTATCTTAGCTCATAGTGATCGATCTGTTTAGTATCCTGTTCCGTGAATGTTGCAGGTATTCGTAAATGTTACAAGTTATTTTTATTTTTATCGTATACATATATAATCGTCCGTGTTTCCCACATCAATTTTTGGAATGATGCATAGTGACATGTGTCATGCTGTTCGGTATTCAATGATATAATTACTGTTGTCATTCAGTTTGTTAAATGTATATTTTGCAAAACGAAACGGACAATCCCATATAATTAATTATATATTTGGTTATATGTATATTTGTTATATAAATTCGACTATATTTGATCAGAAAATTTTTTGCTATTTATTAAATAAGACGTAATAAAGTTATATAATATTTCCATATAATATAATGGGATATCCGTGACTTTTTGCGTTGGATATAAATTTGATTTCGCGTGGTGATTTTCTACAAATACTATAATATAATAATAAAAATACATAGTAGACATAAAGAATTTTAAATAAAGATAGGAATGTAATTCAAATTTTTTAATTTATACACATTGAGAAACATTTTCAAATTAGAAATAATATGATAAATTAGATAATAAATTAAATTTATAGTTTTTTGTTTTTGAAATATACTATAATATACATTAGCGTGATCCAGTTTTATTAATTCACTATAATATCTCAAAATCTTTAAATTTAAGACAAAAATGTTTAAAAAAAAAGTTGCTTAGTTATAAGAGGGAAAGAAGATGGTGATTGGTTGACTTTGAGAAGAGATGTCTTTAAGATCCTCAGATCAAGGTTATTTAAAATTTGTTAATGGAATTATATTTTTTTATATATAATATGATTTTTCTTTCTAATTCTTTATAGTCTGCATATAAAAATATTAAGGTAGAGATACCAATAGTTTACGAGATATTTTATATTTTATTCTGGCCAAATATTGCCATGAGAATATTTTAAATATCTCGTAACTATTGGTTTTTTTTTTATTTCTACCTTAAATTAATATTTTAATTTATATGTAAAATAATTAGTAAAATCGTATGTAAACGATATACAGGGTGTTTGATAAGTAACGAAAAATCTCTCGCATAGCGGACTAAACTGAGTCGAAATATTCTCTATTATTTTGTAATTTTCACAAGGTATCAATTACTAATAAAAATTATCAAATAGAGTTCTAAGAATTTTTTCAGAATTTTTTATCAATTTTGTAATACTGCATTTTCTTATATTGGCAACTATTTTTACCAACATGAGAAAATGCGGTACTAAAAAATTCTGAAAAAATTCTTAGAGTTCTATGAAAAGAAAAACAATTTTTGACACTTGATATTTTTCTCTAAAGTTGATAGTATTTGAGTAAAAAATTATTAAAAACCAATATTCCGCGATTTTTAATAATTAATATTTTGTTAACTATTGCGAAAATTGTAAAATGGTCGAGGACTTTTTGACTCAGTTTAGTTCGCTCTATCCCTGTGCAAGAGTTTTATCATTACTTATCAAACATCCTGTATATAATTCCATTAAAAAAATTTTAGGTAACTTTAATCTGATTTTAAGGATATCTTCTCAAGGACAAGGTTATCTTCTTTCTCACTTGTAACTGAGCAACTTTTGTCTGAAACATTTTTATCTTAAACTTAAAGATTTTGAGATATTCTATTAGATATACTGGATTGGATTGATTAAAATGGATTACCCTGTATATAAACAAAATGTAATAAATAAAATCAAATAAATTTATCTTGTATTGTGTACTACAAATTAAATATGAAAGAGAATAATTATAATAGACAAAATAGTATTTGTAGTCTTGTATTCTTTTTTGTGTGATTGTGCATTGTAATTAACAATGAAGGATATTAATGTTGGAAAGTTTCCACGTGTCTTTCCTGTCGAATTGGCAAAAAAAAACCGTGTTTTGCATGTTGATTGAGATTTTTAGGTAACGATTGTTAGAATTATCATGAATAACATAATTTTCATTTGCAGGTGGAGCAGGAAACACAGGCACGGCATGTCAGATGGATCGTTGCGCGACGTGATTGATTATCGAACCGGTTACATAAAATCGCATCTACGCTCACCCTCAGGCAGGGTTCGGTGACTAAACACATGGAAAATTAAAGCAATAATTAAGGTATAATGGCAGAACATAAGCCTCATTGGCTCGATGGCCCGAAGTTATCAATGAGGTATAAACACAAATTCAGTCAGGAAATAGATTCTATCAGTACTTTTAAATATTCCTTAAGGCTATCTTGAAGTAATTGTGTACCGTTCCATTGTATTAACTACTTGATTAGCCATTTTCTATTTATCCTAACTTGTTTCTAATATCAACTCTGGAAACGAACAGAGTTTATATTATGATTAACAAGTACAGGTAAAAATCAATCTGTCCATAAATTGAATATTTTTTGATCGAATACTTACTTAAATTTCTTAATTTATTTATAAGATTACTAAGCATTTTAACAAAATATCTGCAGTTGAAATTGTAAAATAAGTTATTTTAAAATTTTTGAGAAGCTCATTGCTGAAAAACATCTTGCAGAAATATATATAATATTAACAAAAATAGTATAACTGATATCCTCTTATTGTTGATGTTTTCTACTCTTTTGCTACACGATTATCATTTCCTAAACAGCTATAATCAAAGTATTCACATATTGGATCTAAATACGTTGGAGATATCTCTGTGGTATTATTCATGGTACATTAACGTATATATTATTGATGTATGTGTGATAACTGTAGCTCAATTTAGCATGAAAACAATTTCAGATGACATATAGTCAACTACGAACTTGTCTCGACTACGTACTTGTCTAGGTGTATCCCATTACAGAGAGATTCACGAGAGGACTTGCTATATTATGCATTAAAATAAAGACGACACTTGCAATCGTTAAAATATTGATAAATCCATCTTATGGCGTGTTATCATCGGTAAAAAATTTAAACATAACAAGATTTGTCAATTTCAATACGTTTCTAAGTATGTGGAAAATATGTTAGAAATAATATTTAGATCAAGACCTCTTCTTCGGCAGTTTCACAAATATCACATTGTCGTTAGTGGAAGTTATAAACGATATTGGATAATACATAAAGACAATCAAAAATAATAAATTAACTCTAAAATACCATTTTTCATTTAAAATACCTTTTTTTTTGAAGATATTGTTGGTCTTAATATAGAC